GTCTTTCAAAGTAGCAATTCTCGAAAAAGCGAGAAATCATATAAAAGCTGGTGAAATATGATTGACATATTTCATACTATGTACTATTTTGAATTGGCGTACTCGAAAATGCAGATTTGGTTAAAGGACATACTAATGTCGTAAATGGCCATGATTTGAAGATGAAATGGTTGAAAATTTCAACGGCTGGAAAGATGAGAAGATGCAATATTCGCAGCGATATTTCAGCATTAGAGGCATCTTGTTCTTCATACTAAAATCTTGTGCATCATGCAAATATACGCACAACGCTATGTACATGAGACCATGTGATCGTGCTTTACGTGTGTACTTAAGTACGCTAGCAATGTAAAGTGCACATGCGCGAGCTTGTTCTTTATCCTTTTTCTTCTGGTTATCAACATCCTACGGCCATCTAGTTTCGTATCCATAGTTCATGTACAGATATGTGTGTATGTATGTATGTATATATCTTATCCAGTTAGCTTTGTGTAAATTTTAATATTATTTTATATTTATTGATATCGTGTGTGAAAGAGAAATCATAATGGTTCCTTATTATAAATATAAATATAAAAAGTATTATAAATATAAAAATTCAGTGCTAGGATGAATCATATTTATTTTATTCATATTTAGTAGGTATTGATAATACATAATAACTATTATTAAGTAACACAACTGCGACAACTAGATTAAGTTTTGCTAAACAATTCTTTCAAATTAGGTCATTTTTTAGAAAAAAAATTTTTTTTAAATAAAAAATAAATTTATTAATTTTACAGGTGTTTTATAATAACAGACAAAATTTAATATTCACCACAGATTTTTGAGTAGTTTCTCCTTTATACAAGAAAGTTAGCTTAAAATTAACGCTCATGTCAATGTTGAAGTATATTACATTAATAATGACTTGTTCTTATATAGTGGTAGCTCTCGTTTAAGTAAACTTTCAATTTTCGTTGGCCTTATTAGTTGGTGTTTATATTTAATTTATTTCAAATTAGTAAAGAAAAATAAAACTTTCTCTGCATCATTCGAAACATAAGAAGATATTAGAGAATTATATAAATCTTCAAATAATAACATTAACATTAACATAAACATTAATTTAAAATTAACTTAAATGTTAAATGTACACATTGTTTGATTCATTTGTTTCAATTAATATCAATTTGTTGTTGTGATGAAAAAGAAACAAGTTGTTATTTAAGAAAAAATTAAGAGAAAGAGAAAAAGAAATACTTAAATGAATAAAAATAGATATGTACATATAGAGATGGAGAGTAGAAGTAGAAGGTATACAGGATGCTTCCGAATAACATATCCAGTGAGTGGGAGGTGATTTCTTGTGAAAAAATAAGAAAAAAATATAGAATAAAATTTTTCCGTTCGAGGTTCACGTTTTCAAGATAATCTGCGTCCGCAAGTCATTGTGACCTGAACAAGTTGTGACCTCTTTTGTGATATTCACAGACAGTAAACAGTCAGTCTTTATTCGGTTTTTGACAAGATGAATTATACAGATAGAGAACATGTGGATATCCGAGTCTTGGAAGTTTCTCATAACAATTTATCTACTGCTATCCGTTACTGCAGAACACGTTTCCATAATCGGCATATTCGGCCTGATTGGAGAACAATTCAAAGAATATGCAGTCGTTTTCAATAATATAGTTAATAATAAAATGTTTCTGCAAAATAATATTTTCACCTCAATTGCACCTACTAGGATCTCTGAAATATTAATAAGTATTGTTTACAAATTTACAAACAAAGTCGCCATTTTACTTCACACGAAAAGCAGCATTTTAGCCGTAATTGCATGAGTACACAAAACGATATTCAAACTCGATTATCTTGAAAACTACGCTTCGGGCAAAAAAATTCTATTCTATTTTTTCCTTATTTTTTCATAAAGGACTACCCGTTTGGTATGTTATTCGGATGCTCTGTATATATTATGCAAGTGCATTGCTACTGGAAACTGAATTAAGGTGGTAGGAACTACGAAGGTGGTTCTCTTTAGTTGTAACATTGTCGGGAAACTACCTCAAACAACTGTCTCGGTGTAACCGAACTCGACTACATCACCATCGTAGTTTCAACCCAAAGCTTCCGCTACTTACCAAGAATTTATCAGACGACGCGTATTGTTGACTTATTACTTCCTCGTTGTTAGATTCTCAAGATATTTTGATCTCTGCCTAGACACTTCAGTTTAACATAATTATTTTTATGATGAAATATTATAAAATTAAATTTTCAATTGGACTTTTAAATTTTATTTCTGTCGCATTTTCCTCTTTGAAGCGAAAAATGTTCAAAAAAAAATTATAAAATTAATAAAGTAGAGAAGGAATTTGAAATAAGAGTATGTATGTATGGAATAAAGATAACGATAACTGGTAATAGGAATAGAATTAGAGAGTAATAAGTAGAGAATCGCAAGTGCAATGTTAAGACTCTAGGCTAGCACGGTGGTCCGTTCTTGTATAGACGCGGTAGGGAAGCGGCAGAGAATAA